CTAACCTAGTGTGTTGGATGCAGAATTTAATTCTCTATCCAATGGTACTATTGTGAAATGATGTTATCGGGCAAAAATGGGGGGTTATACCATTAATACTGGGTCTGAGACCCAATTCTGAGAGTAATTCTTGTCCGGATTCGCTGTACGACTTGTGTTAACTTTCTAAGCTAGTGTGTTGGATGCAGAATTTAATTCTCTATCCAATGGTACTATTTTGAAATGGTGTTATCGGGCAAAAATGAGGGTTATACAACAAATACTGGGTCTGACACCCTATTTTGAGAGTAATTCTTGTCCGGATTCGCTACACGACTTGTGTTAACTTTCTAAGCTAGTGTGTTGGATGCAGAATTTAATTCTCTATCCAATGGTACTATTGTGAAATGATGTTATCGGGCAAAAATGGGGGGTTATACCATTAATACTGGGTCTGAGACCCAATTCTGAGAGTAATTCTTGTCCGGATTCGCTGTACGACTTGTGTTAACTTTCTAAGCTAGTGTGTTGGATGCAGAATGTAATTCTCTATCCAATGGTACTATTTTGAAATGGTGTTATCGGGCAAAAATGCGGGTTATACCATAAATACTGAGTCTGACACCCAATGTTGACAGTAATTCTTCTCCGGATTCGCTCTACGACTTGTGTTAACTTTCTAAGCTAGTGTGTTGGATGCAGAATTTAATTCTCTATCCAATGGTACGATTTTGAAAGGGTGTTATTTGACAAAAATGGGGGGTTATACCACAAATACTGGGTCTGACACACAATTCTGAAAGTAATTCTTGTCCAGATTCGCTCTACGACTTGTGTTAACTTTCTAACCTTGTGTGTTGGATGCAGAATTTAATTCTCTATCCAATTGTACTATTTTCAAGGCAGTTCATCGGGCAAAGGTATATTGTAGACATAATAATGGTGTAGAAGCTTTGTAGAAGACAATATTCGCATAGAGCAGTGATTTTGATTAGCAGTAAAAATATCGAAAAATGAAGTCAAGAAAATAAAAAGGTAATCAATGTTAAGTGTTAATGAATTTATTTATAAAAAATATGCACGAGTGGTACATAAGTAGCATGAAATATTAGCAGTGAGAACGAGAATAATAGGCATGCATATGGAATAATATTAAAATTGTACATACAGATAAAATCGAATAGTATTCGATTATTAGTAGGAAAAACTTCTAAACACGCAAAGTATATACAACAAAAATGACTCTTATTAGTCCATCATGTGGAAAACATCCTTTTGGATGTATATCATTAAAACGAACATAAGTACCGTCATTTGTTTTAATTATTGCGGTAAAGTGACTTTGTGTGTTATTAAAGCCGGCCGACAGATTGTATCTAAACATAGAAATTGTCCAGAAATTTGTGAAGGTATGATAGATTTACTTACACATATGGACCAATGTATAATGGATCAGGCAGTTCCGTCATTAGTGGCTCATCTGTTTCAACATTAATGATCACAAAAGGTGACACATACTTTATATGTTGCATATATACGGTGCGTGGTGCTTGACATATATAGCGCTTCCTAAACTCATATATTTCAGATATATATATTTAAAAAAAATAACAGAATTCTTACTCAATACAAGTAGTATTCGTTGTCACATCAGTGACCGGAAAATGGTCGTCAATAATGTAATCATTAGGATAGTTGTGAGGCTCGTCAGGACCAAGATTTGCACCACAAGAAACTATAGAATCATTTGTGAAGGATTCAATATGATTCGGAAATTGATTGTTCATTTTACTAAATAGATTTCGGAAATATTGATAGTAATAAGTTCCATTATTGAAAAATAAAAATAAAAATGAAGTTGTTATATAAGAAGAGTTTCTAATGGTTCAATATATTGGATCTATGGAAAACATCTAATTATATAACAAAGATTTAAATCTTCTAAAGTATTTTAACAAAAGACTAGATTCTCACAAAACTTTGACAAATCGATCAATTGAGTTTTTAATATGGTTCCTGTGGTAGTCTTATGTATTTATAAGGTAAACATAGTTATTCATGTTGTTCCGTCGTCATAGCTCACATTTATTTTTAGTCATCTTTTGTTTCTAGAAGTTATTGTTTTATGAACTTATACATTTTCGGTCATAAAATTATTAAAATCCAAATTCCAAGCCTTATCTCTAATGACATCCCATATTATGCATTTTTATATATTCAAAAACTTACCGTAGTGTTATATCGGCACTTGAATGTTTACGTATTCGTTTCGGACAGGCAACACATGTACATTCAGAGTTAATATCAAACTCTTGCATTGGCCTTACGAAATCGAAAACAATTTTGGTCAATGTACTTTGCAAATCATATTCGCCGTCATGATTTTTCACATTCAGCAATTTATGTCGCAAAAGCCAGTGTAGCCGAGCCATAGTCCAATCATGACTTTCAACGTATTGAAAAGTTTGACGAAGAGCAATAAAAGCATCGACAGTATCGTTTTCAAATAACTTACGAAAGCCATCACTACCGGCTTTATAGGCATGATATAAAACGAATAGACCAGTGTCAACTGGACATGTTCTAGTGATAGAGAATGATTGACCTTCATAAATGCCATTTTTAATACCATATCTAGGCCAGGTCAAATTGAGACTACCAAGTGTCGTAGTGAATGGTTGTTTGCTAAATCTAGATTGCTGGTTTTTCGATGAATGTAACAGCGATGTTTTTATTTTCTTTCGTTGTTCGTCAGATATTTTTTCCATCACGTTGGCAGAAATAGTATCGTTGGACGATGAAAGAGGTCGTTTCGGTGAAAGTGCTCGAGATAATAAATTTGGACTAATTATTGGAGAAATATAATCATTAGCATATTTTGGATTGGGAGTGCGATGACGAGAACTTCTTCGTACATTTTCTTCTGTATCAGTTGCTTCTGGTTCACTAGGTACAACATAAGGCACTGAAGTCAGTAAATAATCTTGTTCAACTTGTCGAGAATGTAGTGGACCATCAAAATTGCTGCATGATGATGATGATGAAGGACTACGACCGAGAATGTAAACATTGTCACGGTTTAGTTCAGCTGGATTAGAAGACTTGATAGAAAATCCAAATGATTGATTAAAAACTGAATGAGTTGATAAACTACTGGAGCTTGCGTCACTAAATATTAATAATTATTCAAATAAATTTCTCTACCTAAATAGGTAAGATATTAATATAATAGTCAAGTAAATTGTTCAAGAACTTTCCTCGTTTTATATCTTCATCACTAAATTGTGTATCTTATTTTAGATTCTGTTGCATGTATCCAAAGAATTAGACATCTGTGTATAATATCATGAATAGGTATGTAGCAAATTGTAGGAAGCAGAATCATCAAAAAACAAACTATTAGCGATACTGGTGGATCGCTCCTAACTTAACCAATTAAAAGTAATACGTACTTAAGGTCTGATAAGGTATGGACAGACGAGTAATCGCTTGCTGTACAAGATGAAGCTTGATCAAATTGAACTTTTCGTTGCTTTGGTTTTTCTCCACTACAAGATAAAATTGAATTCAAATTTAGTTCCAATTCTGTAAAATATAACTCACATTAATTTGCATGCTGTTGTCTGAGCGATACTATCATCAAAATAATGACGTCGTCGATTAGCCTTTGTCTTGGAGCGACCTTTCCCTCTCCAATTCTCTTTGGCATTTAAACTGTCTGGTTCGTCTTGCACCACTTTTCGGCAGCGCGATGATTGAGTCACATCGAAATCATTTGCTTTCAAACGTGAAACAGTATGGAGATATACTTTTAATAAGAAATCACCTGGTTTAAGGCGAGTTTTCTTCTTAAGAACAGATTCTTTAATTACAGAAAAATACGATTCAATAGAAGCGTTCGAAATTCTACCATGACCAAATTTCCAGTTGTTGGTCGAAATCCTTTTGCCATCATTGGCATATCTAAATGGCAGAGATCTACACTATCGATTACTTAAAATAAGAATAAAACTTGCCTATCTACAAATTCAATCATGATACCTGACCATAGAGGAACGTAAGCAAACCATTTATAAAATAAATGAACAATCGCGATTGAAAATAGTGGATTAGTTGGTTTTTTCTTCATAGGTTCTTTACGGATCAATTGTTTCAGAAGAGGCATACGTTCGCATGCCTTGACATTAAACGGTGACTGATGAATAATTGCATCGTTTGTAATGTCAATTTCGTCGAGAAAATGTGGTTCTTCTTCATCTTGTTCGATTTCGTCCAAATATGGTTCAACAGGAAATTCATCTGCATTCGATTGATCGAGAAGTAACGATAATCTTTGTGACGATTGGTTGTTATATGGATCGGCGTAAATATGCATGATTTCTTCAAATAAATCAAATACACCATCGACATTGTGGCAATTTAGTAATACAGCAAAAAGTGTCATTATTTGACGGCGAGCATCTTTTGATGTTTCGATTTTGTTAAGGCTTCGAGAAAATGCCTTCATTACGTGTGAACAACAAAGTCGTACAAATGTCATGTTGCGTAATTGAGATGTGTCATATGCGAAATTAAGAGTATTAAAACAACGACGAAGATTACTACGAACAGTTTCGACGTTGAACGAACTGAGAACGCTGTTTAATAGAGCTGCAGAAAAGTCAATAACAACGAAAGATGGACGAGCAGTCTTGCAACGTAAAGCAAGCCTACTACGTAGGCAATTAAAATACGAAGTAATGGAACTAGCTGTTTGATCGGAGAGAAGAGCACCACTAAGAGGTAAAGTATTAGAAGGATCTTCTCCAAATTTGAAAATCATGCAATAGAAAAATATAGGATTTTGGTCGTCCAGTTTTTTAATGACAGAGCCAGTCGCATCGATATGTAAGTAAGTGTAGCTTTTGGTCTTGCAATAGTTGACAAAATAGTCGAGTTGCCGTTCAGTGAAAAAATGCACTGTGAATGGCCACTCTCCATGTGTCTGTATATAGCCTGTAAAACAGAAATAAAAATGAAAATAATGCTGTGTATTGAAATTAGATTCCTTCTTGAGGTGGCCACGATAGTGTTACCACTGGGCCGCCGTCATAGTGGCAGCAATTTTTTAAAAATCATCATGGTGTGGAAGATATTTCAAAAATACTATTCTGGCCACGGTACAGCCATGGCATTTTTTGTAGTAGGAAGATTATAAAGTTGCATGAATTTGCACCTGATTCGGATATCTACAAATCCAAGAGTCAGAATCATGGTGAACCTGATCCATTCAATTAAACTGTACTAGTTTAGCACAGTGGTGGAAGAGACTTTCGAAGAACTTCTCAAAAACCATCATGGTAGCAGAGTGACAGTTTTGTCTGTTGGAGGAAAGCAACAGACTTTGAGACATCACAGGCATTTCTTATATCTTCTGTGGATCGATTGTTCTCGCTTGAGTCAAGACGATATCTGATGTTTTATGTCATTTTTTCTAATCTAGTTTCCTTGAAAAAGTTTTAAAATATTCAGACTACATAATTCGTTCAATTAACCATCAAAATACCGAGACAGTTACGCAAGAATTCAAGGACGTTACTAAATGTTAGAAGAGTCAGATCATTTTTCATTTCTTCAATCGGCAACATAATTACCATTAAAGCTGAAAATCAGGGTAATTTAATGCTGAAATCAGTTTAGAAAGATCGGTTAATAATCTGCAGTGATTGACTCGTAAGTTTCACATAGTAATAACAGATATTACATGAGTGAAATAAATTCCAGTTCATTCATATGTAATAGAACTCAATTTTGTCTGAGTCATATAAAAATTTGTGAAATTCCTATTAGCTTAATAATCACATAACATAGAAAACTACCAGTTTTTAGAAATAGGAAGGATTAAATAATTTTAGAAAGTACCGAATTATTTCGAATACAAATACTTGAAATTTCCGAAAATCATTTTCGAGACTATGAAAACTTTTCAACAGTTTTCTTTATAATGAATTGGACATTAGAAATACGGATACTTTTAAATGTTGATCTGTATTCTTCCAAAACTATTCAAAACCACAAGTAGAACTTAGCAAAAGATAAAACTGAAATTGTTAACAAAGTTTGTTTTTTACATCATTTAATATTATAGTGATTACTTCTTGTTTAACTGTTTTCTAGCTAGCAGTTCTCAGACTTTAAACATAGAATAATAACTTATTGTAACTTTCTGAATTATTCAAAACAAAAAATTATTATCAAAAACAAAAAAGAAAGTGTAAATTTCATTGTCTAACAACAACGATCAATAAGTTACTCACCTTCGAATTCTGAAGGTAATTCAAAACTCATCTCCTTCTCAATCATGGAACAAATAGATTAGATTCTATCTGTTAACTATTCAGGAATATTTTTTATTACTCAGCTTTGCAAAAATTATTTATGAAATAGATAGATACTTCGTACTTAGTATATTAAATTCCTAAACATCTACTATAATCAAGCATTGCTAAAAATTCTCAAATACAAGTGAAACTATTCAGTCTGAAAGATGTACCATGAACAAGTCGAAATCAATGATATTTGTTTTATTATTACCGTTTTCGAAAAAAGCCAAACACTCTGAGGATTCAGTATACGTATCTATTTATAAATTAAACATCGTGTTCGACTTGCAGAAAAAATTAGCTATAAATTATTCAAATATATCAATCATCGACAGTTCCATTGATTAGTTTCTATATATGAATACAAATGTATATAAATGCTTGGTGATAATCTCAGATATTGTGTCTACTCTGAACGCACAATTAACTTTTCATCTTTGGTTGTTAGTCTTCATGTTTATTCATGAATTATTATTTACAAAAGAATCTAGGCTTATATAAACTTTATAAATTATATTCGTATACGAATTCTATTAACGTATCGTGATATTGCACGGACAATATGTCAAAGGCTTATTTTAAAAAATTCTCTGCTTAACAAATTTAACACTACACAATGTAAGTGTGAATTTTTTTATCTATTAAGTTTCAAGATTAGTCTATTCTTTTACAGTGCTAGTAACTTCATTAATCAGATTTTTGAATGATTATCTTTATAATGAAACTGTTTGCAGAAATAAATTTTGAAACTTTTTTTTATTCACAGGTAATAATTTATTGTTAGTTATATTGAAAATAGTTTCGACAAATTTCGTTATATCAATAGCATTTTAAAAATAACTATGAAAAAATTCTATTATATATGTAGGTTGATAAACAGCTGATTCCAATATGTGATATATAGAAAGAACGAAAAAAAAAATTATCTAATTCACACAGTTCTACTATACGAATTTAGATAATTTTTTTTTTCGTTCTTTCTATATATCACATACGTCAATCAGCTGTTTGTCAATCTACATATATAAGAATTTTTTCATTTCTGTCCTTGAAATATTATTGATATAATAAAATGTGTTCAGAATCAATAAGTATTTTTTTTCATTCATTATAAATTTTGAATAAACTTATAAATAAAGAAGCTGCTGATAAAAAATTTATTTTTTCAATATAATTAAAATTTGAAACGAGTAGCAAACAATTTTTTAAATGAAATTTTCTATTAGATTATGAACCATATTCAAGAACGTTCAGTGACAATATGTTCTTTTTTATGAAGACCTATTTTGAATTTATTTTATGTGAAAAATAATTACCACTATCAACTGTTGATAGTATGATTAATATCGAAAACTTCATTTTTATCAGCCAGCTCACAATATGTAAGTTTTCAAAAGTCAAACAAACTTTGCTGAACATAAGTTAATTCAGTTCATTCATGCCGAATAAAAGAGAATCAATTTATTCAAAGATTTTATTTGACTTTAAATTTTCATTAAAAAAAATGATCTATATTTGAAATAGTCTCAGTATTTGCTGTAATCTAAAGTATGGGCTATTGCATAAAGTGTAATTTATTAGCTTCTAAAAAAATGTACAAATTATTGTTCAGCATAATGAAAATAATACAAAATAGGAATTTGATATTACTCATTATGCTGTATCATTAAATTTATATTAACCATTGAAAAAAATTTATGTTCATCAGAACACATTTTCAACTATGGCATGTATCGATCAAATTTAACGCCAAAAATGATTGTTCGATTCTTTATAGCGAAAAAGAAATTTTTACTTACCGTAACTTATGCAATTTATTTAGAAAATGAGTATGATTCATATATAGGAAACTTAGGTTAAAATCAAGTATTTTAATTTCTTTTTCAGAGAAACATGCAAATACAAGATCATGTGAATCATTGATTATTTTTATAATAAATAAAAATATTAAACAACTACTCAATCTAAATTCTATGTTCGATCTTATCTCTTAGGATTCTATATGATGTGGAGCATAGTCTTATTTTAGGTAATCGATTTCTGTTTTGCTTGTGCTAGGTGCTCTCTACTTTTTCTATATAGATATAGATAAACTATTCTCATATGATATCTACTAATAAGTTTTAAAAAATTACCGTGAACATTTTTTGAAGGCTTGTCCAGAGAATTAATTAAAATTCGAAGAACACGAACTCCTTTAAAAATATCTTCATCAAGCTGGTACCGTTTATTGTATTCGTGTTGAGCAGTTTTTATTACACCCATGGGTGGAACTTCGGTAAAGTTCCCCTCTTTGAGAAGAGTCTCATTGGCCAAACGAACGTTTTGTTCAAACACTCCGAGAGCACCCAAACTATTAGCTAATTTACCTACAAAATCAATTTTGATAGAATATTTTATTAAAGAACAAAAGTGGCTTACCCATAGCAGTTCTCGCCGGTCCAGTTAATGGGCGTCTGGTCTTCTCTTTTTTTGCGTCATGATTTGCTTCACCAAAGATAATAGTAGTAAAGATGCATGGGCTTGTTTTGTTCTTTGGTTCCTCTTCGACCATTATTACAAGTTCAACTGGGCATTCCTTAGTTTTGCAGCGTCCTTTGCCAGTAAAGACGTTGCCGTTACGTTTACGTGAGTTTTCTAGTGGTATAAAGTGCTTCCTAAAAACCACAGTGCAATTAATGCCGATATTAACCACATGTGGAATCAATTGATTAGTCCAATCTGTAGCCACTTCACGCGTCTTACGGTTGTAGAACATCCTCCATTGTTCACATGTCATAGTAAAGTGGCGAACACAACGAGGCATCGAAAGCTTCTTTATTCTTGCTGATTTGAGACGAGTAGGTTCAAATGTAACCGATGACAGTATTGGCAAGACTGTCTTAGCAGCTTTCTAAATATTCATAGAAGAGACTTAATAATTTGGGTTTTAGGAGTATTCGGCACATATGTCCTTCGAGAATATCAAGTATAATTACTGTATATTTTGCTAGAGGCTTCATATCCATAAATTTCTCTGTTTATAGGAAACGTTTCACATGGAATTGAAACTAGATATTACCGGCACTGAGTTGGCTCTGCAGCAAATCGTATACTGTATATAGATGACAGTGTATACCTTTTTTAAGGCTTATCCTGTATGAAGCAAGCATGAAACTTTTAACTATAGACGACGTCAGATTTCGAAACTCTCGGGTACGATGAGTGCCACTTTATGCATGTATTTAGAAGAGTAGCTTTGCTTAGAGACTGTAGTTGAGGCAGAGCTAGAAGAAGTACAAGTACAAGTAAAAATACCTGCTTCTGAGCTCTACCCACAGTTTACATCAACTTCATGCAAACACAACCAAACCTTTTCAGCTTCATTCTTAAAAAAAATGTTTTTTCGAAAAACTACCAAAATAGGTTTCCGATTCATATAGTGACAAAATCAGAAACGCTAAAGAAGTTTCGAAAAAAGAGATCGAATTTCCGAGTTTTTGAATAGGGGACACTTTTTTCAAACACCCTTTGACACATCCGATTTTCTCACTATATGAAACCTTGTAAAGATTTCTGAAGTTGAGAAATTCATTTTTTTCCCTCCAAGAACCTTTTAAAGGTTTCCAAAATCAGTTCGAAAACGCATTGATGCTGTCCGAAAACCTGTTTTGGTGAGTTTTCCAGAAGACGAAGTTTTTTCGACTGAAGTTTATCACGAATGTTATTTGTGGGAACAATCATTTTTAATAGTAGACCTATTTTCCTCTAAGTTATGAATATGGATCTTTTATTCCACAACCCCCACATACACACTTAGATCCTGGTGAACTAGTCTAAATGATAAAATTTATTATTTTTTCCTCGTCTTACGAAGTCACTCAGTATTAAAATAAAACTTGAAAAGTATAATTTTACCTTATCGAAAGACATAGCATCTTTTTTTGTTGAGTTGTTTGATGGTGACATTTTATGTTCAGAGAGATTGTCAGCAGCCTTTCGACGATAGAACTTGGTGCGTACTTCTCGTCGATCATCTGTCCATACGGTGTAAAGCCATTTGCGTGTGTCATACGTATTTTTTTCAGAAATTTCTGTAAAACTTGCTAGTTGACCCCATATAGAATCCGGTTCAGTATAGCCTCCATTAATGGCATCTAATTCTAAATACCTTGGTCCAAGTTTCTCAACAGCTGAAATATATCCATCTTCGTTTCCAACTGATTTCCAGTAATTTCTCTTTCGAAAACGTTTAAACATTTTTAGAAATAATGATATGAATATGATTTATACAGCATATCATCGAATTTATAGGCAAAGATGATTGATTTTCACAACCAATCATAAATTGCATTCGCTGTCTCTTTCCTTCTCTTTTTGTTTCTCTCTCTCACTCTCTCTTTGTCTCCAAAGTGAATGTTACGCTCGAATAAACAACAGAGAATATTGTATTCAAAGAAAATAAAAATGAAAGTCAGCAAAACCATGAGGATTCTTTACTCCTAAATCTTATAATTACAATTAAACCAGTTTATATAAAAATTAAAGCAAACATCTAACGCTTCTCATTGAAACGTTAATGGAAGTTTAAAAAGAGGATAATGAGTTTTGTCATGAATACAAAAACAAAAAAAATATTTTATTCTAATTGAAGCAAAATAATCTATAAATTATCAACTCAAAAAAACAATATATAGATTTTTCGAACTTGAACCTGGTTCATTATCAATATAAGTATAATAAGATGCTGCATTTGTATTTGTCAATATTTGCATGTCAATCAATATTGAATCATTATAAATAAACACATGTATATGATTCATAGACTTCTTATTAATATTGATATATAAACAAATTTTTCATTTTTATTATTTTCAAGATTTTTGTCGTTGAAACAATACAACCATAATAATATTAAACGAAATTGTATAGCTTGAACAAAAAACACTGAAATAAGAGAATAAAAAATTTTCATTTGTAATAACAAGATCAATATCTTTTATATGTAATTATTAAATTATCTATGTTAATCAATATTTGTTGAGAAACAAATATTGATAAATACAAATGGAATATCTCATTCTACTTACTCCGATGATGGGCTAGATTTTAGTTTGAAAGGTCTATGCAATTTTGTTTTTATTTATTAGTTATACATTAAACTGTTTCAATGATAAAATCATTCTGCCAACGCATCAATGATGATAACAAGTCATATGAGTTATACATATATAATGAGTTTTATATTTTCTGTTTACTCTTTATATCAATGTCATTAATTACAACAATTATTTTTTTTATTCCAAGCTAAATTTACAATGAAATATTTGTTATTGATCATACTTAATTAAATAATTATTGAAATATATTATCATATTGTTTTTTTTTGTCCATATTATAAGTAGAACTAGAGAACTATTTATGAAAAAAAATGTTTTATATCATTGTAGAATATGTAATAACAGATTCATACGAGTTTTTCTATGAATTTTTTTTTGAAATTCTTTCAAGTTTTTTTTGTACATCATAAACTATATATAGATACTCAAGATATTGGGAAAAGTAGAGACATTCACGATATTTTCTTATGTGTTCTTTATTTAGTTTGAAAAGGTTTAATCAAGTCTCGAAGAAAACGTCAATAAAAAATTTAATGAAAAGTTTAGAGAAACGTTAACGTTAAGTATAGATTTGTTGATAATATTTGTTACTAGTGTTCATAATTAGATCATATACATACATGCACAGATATTAATTTGACAAAGAGAAAATCTCGCTTACCCATTGATGATTATCAAGATGAGGTTATTTTTTTCTGTTATTATTTATTATTTTAATAAAACTTATTCAATCAAATAAAATAACTTAGTAAACTTCTATTCATACGAGATATTGATATAGATAAATATACTCTTAGCAGATTTTTTGTGTTAGATTCAAGTGAAAAAGAATATTTATATCTTCCCAAAAGTTAGTATATTGATAATCATATTCTTTTAATGATTGATTATCTATCGAAAAATACTTTGGTTGTGTTAAAGGTAATTGAACAACTGAAACCTAAAATATTATTTTTCATATATTGAACTATACAATTTCTCATGTTCATAATTTCAATGAAAAAAAAGCAACAATTTTTTTTTTGTAGATGACTTTTTGTCAATATTCAAATTGTATAATTATACTTTATTTCTTCTTCAGAATGAAGTTGAGTAGTAAGCACAATTCTATTTCCATTTCAGCCTACTAGAAAGCAAGAAAATTTAAAATTTCAGTTTCTAAAATTTTGATTATCATGCACACATATTCAACACTAAGTCAATATCTGTTGATCGAAAAAAAAAAGATATTCACTTATGATAATGTATCAATGAAAGTTGACGAAATGATATCATCCTCAATGATCAGGTGAAGTGCGATATTTCATTCATTAGTCAATCAGAAATAATCTGATGTCAAAAAGTAACATCGAATTACACAGATGACTTATAATAACGACTTGCCACAGGATATTTTGGATAATCAATTAGTTGATGTGTTGTGAAATTATCAAGATAGATATAATCATGTGATAGATAATAATTTACTTAGTGAAAAAAGAGAAAAATATCTTATGAGAAATATTAACAATATTTTTTATCGATAAATATCAAAATAGTGTAAAAATAGCTATTATAAAAAATCATAGATATACTTACTTTTATTTTTCACGTCTTCAGTAAGTCAATTCTAATTACTATGCCGATAGATTTTATTATTGTATGTTAAAATTGATGCCATAATATACGTTATTCTTTTATTAATAAAAAAAAAAGAAAACATACTCATGGTGAATTTTTCACAAGACGTTCTTATATCGATATCTCTCATTGTTGTTTTTGAACTATAAGATGTTAGAAATATAAGAAAAAAAAGAACAAATATTTCTCATCCATTGTCCTATATTGACATAAAAATATGACGAAAGTGTTTCTTTAATAAATGAAATGTTTTTTTCTTGTTTTGTACACAACATGAGAACTATTTTTCAATAGATTAAATGTAAATGTATATTTAAAGTAATTTAATAAGTTATAGATAAAGAAAAAATATTTAATTAAATATTGTGTTATTTACAGACAAAAAAAAGACATACTCTAAACATGTTCAATTGGTGCAGGTGTGTTGAGGATGCTTTGATTCATTGATGTTTGACTTTCAGCTAAATTATAGAAGAAAGTTATAGCTTGAGATAAAAGCAAAGCTTACATTCTAATGTTAAGTGCTGGTTATGGTAATTGTGCCACTTTGGCTTGAACCAATTGAACTACAAAACAAATAATGTGATGACTTCTGAAAAAAATGATTGAATTACATACTTTAACTTTTCCATCATTACGAATACATTTAAATATGCAAACAAAAATATAACCAGTTACAGCTGTAATAAAAGCACTTACAGCAGCTAAAATGATTTTTTCTCCTAAGCTATCCCCAAAAATATCTTCGTTGACTATTGATGTTGTTGATGCTGTTGATATTGTAATTTTTTTTGAGCTTGTTTTGATCGAAAGTTTCAGATGTTTTAAATATTCTCCAAACGACTTATATTTAATACTCTATATATATAAATGTAGATTTAGTACAATACTGAGCTTCGCCTACCTCTACGATAAGAATTGAATAAAAAATGGTGAATATAATGATGAGTTTCATGTGAAAATTAAATAAACAAGAAGCTCGAACACAATAAAATAAACAATTGAAAAGATGTCAAGTGAGATATTTAGAAATTGAAATGATCACTATCTGCTTTTTATAGTAGGCAAAGAGAAATGAGGATCAAAAGTTAAATATCATATGTGTTTATTTGTTATCGGCAATTATCGAAATAAGAATCAAAGACTATGATTGCATGTAACATCAAAGTATTCGTATTTTCAAAGAGAACATTTAGTAATATTATTCAGGCTTTTATTACGTTATTACATTTTTTTCTCTTCCTTTGTCTATGTGTGATCAAAAAAAAACAATCATATTGACTTAGCTTCATCATGTAATAATAGCTCATGTCCGTTGAGTTTAAATTTTCACGAGTATTTTCAAAAGAACTTTGTCAATTAATTTACTTTAAGTAAACTGAAACCTTGTCATTCTCTTTTGTCTATTTCAAACAAAATATAATACATGTTTGCTACGAAGAGACACAAATATAAAATTTAAACAATGCACCTAAAATTTCATTTTTTTAAAATCAAACTACAGTATGTGTAACAGAAGAATAAAACATATCTATAAATTGTTCGTAAAATATATTTTTGTCCAGATATTGATATTCAAAACTCTTATGTATTTAAACTTGTGTTGAATTTGTATTTCGTTTTTTTTCTTTTCTTTCGCATTTATGTCCAATCGTACATCGATCGCTGCCTTTATCTTACATCTGATTGGTTAATAATATATTTTACGCATCGTTGCCTTTTTTCAACCTACATATATATATACATATGTACGATAGTCAGCGGGAAGAAAAACAAAAATTAGAAAATATTCTTATCGATTTGTTCTGTCCATAGTTTCAAATATTGTGAATTTGTTGACTGTTTCTTTTAATAAGTCATTGAATTATTCTTATTTTGATAAATAATTGTCTTCATTGAATAGTGCATCAGCAACCAAGACAATCAAGTAAGATAGAAAACTGTTTGAATAAATAAAAAAAGACGTATGTATCCTCTACTTATAGATATGATTCGTATTATTGTATATAGCTTGTTATACTTTATAATTATTCCGAATGTTGCTCCTATCGAATTCTTGTCTACGACAAAGTTACTAGATGCTGATATCTTCGTGGATGTTAATAAAGGATATCTTCTGCAACGTGTCGGTGTGTACTCACCTAAACTGCATAATGTTATTCTGCATACATTGGTATCTTTACATGATCTATGCCAATCATCACCCAGAACTGATGTATGTCTACGTTTACCACAATCAAAAGAACAAAATATGATTGAATTAGGAACAATAATGTCATCCAGACAA